TTCTAGGTTCATTGCAAGGCAGTTATGCACCGTGGTGAAGCATATGCCAACCATTACGGTGTCTGCGTTGGTTGAGATCATCTTCCAACGGTACAATTACTATGTCAAGTATGGGAAAGCATGGAGGGCAAAGCAGCGTGCACTGGAAATAATATTTGGAAATTGGGAAGAAGCTTATGAGCGCCTCCCTATAATGTTGAACGCAATGAGGACTGTAAATCCTGGGATGCACTTCGAGTATTTACCTAAGGAGGGTGAAACAAGGAATGGTAGCCAGGTATTTGGAAGGGTGTTTTGGGCATTCGAGCAGAGCATCGAAGCATTCAAGCATTGCAGGCCCATCGTCTCAATTGACGGGACCTTTCTTACAGGGAAATTTAAAGGCACAATGCTTATTTGTATTGGGACAGATGCAGAAGACCAGCTTGTGCCATTGGCCTTTGCGATTGTTCGGAAGGAAGACACGGATAGTTGGTGTTGGTTTCTCAGGCTAGTAAGACAAGTGGTAATTGGTCTGGGACGTGATGTTTGTGTGATATCCGATAGGCATGCTGGCATTCTGAATGCCATAGAACAAGAGATTCCTGGCTACGGCCAAATACATCACCGGTGGTGCACCAGACACCTTGCTCAGAATCTTATAAGGCGTGATCACACAAAGGACAACTTCAAATTATTTGAGGAGGTTTGCAGGCAGCAAGAGGTTCAATTATTCAAAGACAAGTTAGATGCCCTGAAGTTAGCCACAAATGTTGATGGCAGGCAATTCTTGAGCGAGTTGATGGCGTCGAAGGATAAGTGGTCACTTGCATATGACACGGGTGGTTGGAGATAGGGCTTCATGACTAGTAACATGGCAGAGATGTTCAACAGCCTTCTAAGAGGTTGTCGTGGTCTGCCTGTGACTGCTATTGCCTCATTCACCTTCTACAAGTTGAATTCTTGGTTCGTTTTGAGGAAGATGCCGGCAATAGGAGTTGGGGCTCGGCTATACTTGCCTTCCTGTACCGTCAGCTTTGCGAGGCTTGCCGTCGTCCTGGAGGCGCGCACGCTACAATGTCAGGGTGCATCACACTGTTGCAGGTAATAAAGCAAAGTTGTACAAGTTTCCACTATAATTCAATGTTTTTTCTTAACAAAAGTGATTAACATTCATGTTTCCACTCTTTTTTTGTAGATTTGGATATGGGAGAGGCTTCCAGTTGGGAGACCGCATCAGCTTGATCCCCCACAACCTTGGTTTCCTCAAGGAGACGCAGTTGTCGCCCCTACCGTGGCACACCTCTACGAGCGAGCCCACGAAACATACCACGTGTCACGCCACGCGTACATCAACTTCACCAACGAGCTGGACACCCTTTTGCCACAGCATGTAAGTTTCCCACCCTTTTGGCCTAATCGAGGATATGTGCACAAATTGAGCATCGACTAGTTGATGATGACGTTGTGTACAGGTTCAATGGCGCCCATATCGGCGGAGGCAAGTCACGGATCTCAACTTGAGTGCCTTGTGCATGGCAGACGAGGACGTCTGGACGATGAGGACCCCCCTTATTTGTTTCTATGCAGTGGAGTACCATCTCCCTCACCGTGTAGCACGGCAGTTTGGTAGGCTGCAGCCTTCTCCGCCCGATGATTTCTCCACCGGTTGGCAGCTCCACAAGTACATAACATGCAATATTTTGTTCGTTTCACATGAATGAATCATTGAGTAGGCCTTCATATTGCCGATTTGGTGTAAAATTTGCAGGTTCAACAGACAAAAAAATAAGAAGATCACCAACTGGCAGCTGGAGCACCAGCGCTACATTGATGAGTGGATGTTGATGGAGCGGAACAACATGGGCATCCACGCCGTCCATCGTGACAAGGCATTCGATGATTACCTTGTTTGGTTTGGTCAACGAACAAGGCTTCAATTGAGGCCCGCTTGGGCGGAGCAAGACATTGCCGACATTACGAAAGCGAGGATGAGGGCAACAACCCATATGACCAAGCTACCCGAGAAGGCGGGCAAGTTGAGATCGCCCTGCGTTAGCGGTGAGCTGTAAGTGATACAACTATTTCCATCTCTCGAGGTCTTTCTTGTGATGGAGACTTAAATTCTTGTTTTTGTTGCATAGAGCACGGAGATAATGAGGACAAGGCCGAGCAAGGAAGGGCATTGATGATTCCTGTAGGCGATCCCGATGAGGCCTCCATGTTACAACAAAGACATTCGTGTAGTCTCCTCTCATTCAGTTGATGTTACATCTTTATATAGTTTTGCGACCAACCCCACTTACTAATAGTGCTTTCAAAATGCAACGTGCCATGCATCGCCTCCGAAAGGTAGCTACACGCCTTGGATGTAGATGTTCCTCGGATGTGGCGATCCCCACAACAGCTTGGTGCTGGACCTTCTCACGCACATGTTGGAGGGACTTCATCTTCACATGGTGCACATGGTGGTAGGACTTCTTCTTCACATGGTGCAGCAACTAGTGCAGAGGGTGGTCAAGGACATGGTCATTATGATGATGAAGATGATGAAGGACAGGGAGAGTACTATGATCATGAGTATGATGAGATTGGCATGTCCCAGCTTGGAGATGCACCCCAAGGAACTCAAGGCCCCTCCAGTTCTGGACGTCCACAGAGGACGCTCAGACCAGTGGACAGGTACACTCCAGGTACCTATCCGTTTGGGAGGGAAAAGCGTTACGCTCGCCGTCCACGTTAAGGTACAAGGAGCGATAAAAGATCCAAAGACTTCATATGCTATATTTTGTGCATGGACTATGTATGCATTGGACCTTGTACTATGTTTGGACTATGTCTGTTGATTGATGAAGCATATGTATGGACTATGTTGGATGTTGAATGTGTTGGACTATGTTGGATGTTGAATGTGTTGGACCTTATGTATGTATGGATGTTGAATGAATGTGTATGTCAGTGTGGTCATGTGTTATGTGAATGTGTGGAACGTCGCCATGTTTCATGTTTCCAGCTATTAAGAGAGGGCCTCCGTCGCAACTCACAAGGAAGAAGGGGTGTCATCATCCCCATCCTCCATGTTACGATCAACCTCTGTTGGATCCATGGTGACATGGCAAGCACGCAAAGGGGACGAAGCGGCTTAGGAGAGTCGAGGAGCTAGCGAGCTCAGGTCCGTTGTTGGCACAAGGTCATCATCGGCTGATTAGAGTAGTGGGCAATAGTGAAGCATCAAAGAAGAGATGATATATTTTGGTGAACCCAGGAGCTCGGCGTTTAGTCATTTGACGCCGACCCCTGGTACATACTGGAAACCCTTGCATCAAAGCGCCGAGGTGCCCAAGCTCGGCGTTTAGTCATTTGACACCGACCCCTGGTACATACTGGAAACCCTTGCATCGAAGCGCCGAGGTGCGCAAGCTCGGCGTTCGGTAAATTGACGCCGAGCCATTAACCTCGGCGTGGGATGACTAAGCGCCGAGGTTCGGCCCAAACCTAGCCACGGCCGTTGCCAAACCCTAGGGTTGGCGTGGGCCGACTCGACGCCGAGCCTCAGCCCAACTCGCAAACGGCCAAGCCAAACCCTAGGGTCGGCGTGGGCCGACTCAACGCCGAGCCTCAGCCATTTTGGTATATGTTGCAATCCTATTTGCATGATTCAAATGAAAAATCTTTCTCAACGATTCATCTTCGATTAACACGAGTTATACTAATAAGAGTAGACATGCTATATTTATGTTTGTATGTTTGTTCCTGCAGGAAAAACCGAATGTTGGTTCGATTTCAATCCCCTATTTTTAGAGAGACTCAAATCTTTTTTTCAGTTTGGGAATCAACCATAGTACATGAAACTTAGAGGTAGGTAAACTGCAATTTATGAAATAGCGAATGCACAACGATTACACTCACATCAAAACTAACAATGGCATGTCGCAAACTAAACCTAGCATGCCTTAGGGGATTGAAAGAAACAAGTGATATAGACATTGCAAAGGGTACACACTCACATGAAAACTAACAATGGCATGTTGCAAACTAAACCTAGCATGCCTTACGAGATTGAAAAGAACAACTCATACAAGCATTCCACATTCGGATTGACTAACAAAGGTTGGTCCTAATAATGCTCCCACATATTGAACTGAGTTGCGCCTTCCCCATAGTATCCTCCAGTTGACGGAGGCGGTGGTGGTGGCGGTGGTGGTGGAGAAGGAGGCCCGTCCTTCTTATGGTACGGCACTTTCGTGAGTAATGGATGATTATTGCATAGTGCCTCCTCTGCATCATTGCTTTGTTGTCGTCGTCCGACTTGTCCTCATTACCACTTCGGGGCCATACTCTAGGTCAAAGATGCGTCCTCAGAGATATGTGATGTATCGTTGATGGGGATAGATAGGAGGAGGGTCCACCCATCTAGTGAAGCCACGATTATCTAGACAGACTTGAATCTCAAAAACCCATCTACCAATAAGTACTACTAGAAATTAAATGCAAATCTAAAAAGGAGAGAGTTCAAAGGCAATACAAATCCTCACGGGCATCTCAAGAAACGACGGCCTCCACATTCACGATCGTTGTACATCTCACACAACACAATCCAAACCGTGGCGATTTTGGCCAATCTTCAATGCGCTTCTCGTATGATCTAAGAGGTCTCTCACGGGTGAAGTCACTCTTCCTCTCCAAAGGAAATTCCTCTATTGGTTCTTCAAAAGAATCAGGACCCAGAGAACCCTCCCACACAATCGGAGGTCCCTTCCTCTCCCTCCGTCGAAACCCTTTCCACTCGAGGAACCTCCGCTCGATATTTGCTAAAACTAAACCAGAAAACAAGTTGTGTGGATGTGGAGCAAGACATGGAGCACTATATATAGAGATGAAGGCAGGTTCACCATGAATGCTACTTGACAAAAAACATGTGTGCGTACTCATTTATTGAATCAAAAAGGCTAGATGCTTTATCTGAAAAGCCTACAACCATGATCGGTCATTTCATCCAAAAAGGCTACACTTGTGTTTTGTCACTTATTCTAAATGCAAAGACATCACTCGATATTAATTCATTGCATATACGGATACAACAGTAAACGAATCTAGGCTTTTCAGTGAGTTTTCTAATAGACTTGTAGCCCTTTCGGTGGATCAGCAAAGATTTGTAGCCCTTTCAAGATTTCTGGTAACTGTGATGCGTGGGGAATGGAGGAGGGGAGGGAAGAAGAAGAAGGGGGCCTCGGCCTAAAGGGACCAGACCTTGACGTTGAGTCGGGCCACGCCGAGGTCTAGAGGCTCGGCGTTAAGTGACCCAACGCCGAGCATCTAGGCCACCGTGCTTTGTTGGGCCGCTCCGGGTGGGTCCATTAGCTCGGCGCGCAGTCCAGCCGCGCCGAGGTTGGGCACTTGGCGTCGGCTGACACGACGCCGACATCTCGGACCCACGCGCCACCGTGTCGACGACGACCCCGGTTGTCCGTGACGTGGCAATACCTCGGCGTTGAGTGACACGACGCCGAGTCTCATATCTAGACGTCATATGCTAAGACGCTTAAAAATGGTTTATTTTCAGAAAATATTTTGACGTAGGTATTTTTTAAAAAATTATTTTCAAAAGAGACCAAAATACAAAAATTTCACGCTGATGGACGCAGCGCTCTTGACGTCCGTCGGCAGGTACCCACTCCCCATCGGCGCCGGATTCGTTAGGGGCTTTCTCTGCAAACAGTACGCCGACGGCTTTCTCTGCAAAGCCTCCGGTGAAGAGCGATCTAGGGAAACGGCCGATCAGTTGAGGGTCACGATCGAGCCCGCAGTGCACAAGCCAGTCACCTGATGTGCCGTTCTGCACATGCACCATACGTCCATACCATGCATCATGCAAAGATCTCAGTTAATAATATACCATGCATCGTGCAAACTATAATATACTCATATATATATATATATATATATATATATATATAAGGCAGCTGGCCACAGAATAACTTATTCTATAGCCACTTTATTTACGATAATGTTTATACTAATTTACAATAATAACAATATATATTTACGATACATGGGTTACTATAATTTAAGATGATACTTACCATAATGTTATACTAAATCATTTATGAGGGAGTTATCATAATCTCGTAAATTAGTATAGTAATTATCGTAACTCAAAGTGGCCACAGAATAACTGATTCTGTGGCCAGCTATAGAACAGTACGTGTGTGTATATATATAGTCCCTCTGCTCTTTTTTGGTCTTTCTAGATATATGACTTTTGCTACGTACTTAGGTATATACTATGTCAAGATACATACAAAAGTTATGTACGTAGAAAAAAACTAAAATGATCTATAATTTGAAACGGAGGGGTATATGGGAAGCCATTGTTCACGACGATCGTGGGAAGTAAAAAGACACGCAGAAGAATCTCTTTTTTATTTATAACATATGTATATTACCTTGATGATTTTGAGGTTGAGATTTCGGTTGGCTCCCTTGGGAGATGATACGTGGTCGATGACATCTCCAGGGGCGATGGCTGCACCTTTTTCAGGCACAAAACCATTGCACTTCGTGTTGAAGCAACCTGTGCTTTGATACCCATCATTCTGCAGTGACATTATTATTAGAGGAGAAAACACAAACACTATGTTGTTAATTAGTACTACTACAACTTAAAGCAAAAACATGCTGCTAGCTGCTATCTATCGGTCCTTGTGAATTCAGAAGGGGAAAAAAAACTCACGGTCCACTTGGTATAAAAATGGGTCTTGGAGTCGCCGTACAGGTCCGGTAAAACCTACATATATGATGATGAGTCAAACCGAAGCGTCATCCAATTTCACAGTGTTATATACTCCCTCAGTCCAAATTTAATTGCTCGTTTGCACTTCAAAATTTTTCCCAAAATACTCGGTTCTCATAGGCCTGAACGAGCGCAGCAGTAGCCTGGAATCTTGAAAAGTTCATAGCCTGGAATCTTGGAAAGTTCAGATAGAGCAGTGCAGCACTAGTAGTATTTTATTTCCTCTACGGAACGAGTGGCCGCGGACGGACAGGGCTGGAGGCGTGGAACTCGCCCTGACCACACATTTGCTGGGCTTGACAATATGCACTGTTACTCTGTCGGTCTGGCTGATCCGTACAGGACGGCAGCATAGAGGTAGAAAGGTAATTTGCCACCTCCACTAAGTTGCTGCGTTGAACCTAGACGTGCGGTTATTGTGGGACGGAGGTAGTAAGCTTTAATAGTTTATTTTGTACTAGGTTATTACATATATATACTTACATCCCAACCAATCATAATGTTTTTTAGGCCTGATCTTGCACCATCTCCTTCGTCGGAAATCCAAACCGCGGGCGCACTCCCTTGTCCTTGTGACAAGGGGAAGCCATACACATCCATTGTTCCGATGAACCCGTAGTAACCATTTGGTGCCGTTGCAACACCATGATATGCAAACTATAAGTCGTTACAAATAGTAACATTCAGAAGTAACCTCTAGTCAGTAGCAAAGCAAGCATGTTCTTCTTGTCTAGTCTCAATTTGTTTCAGCTTGTTTCAGCTTATTTTCTCTCACATAACACTATTGAATCAGCCGAAATCAGTTCAGTTCTGGATCAGCCAGGATGGATCAGGTTGCATTGGACATATTATATATATATATAGCTAGGATCAAACGTACACACATGCGTCCTATCACACAACGCACCTAGCCTACATGAACATGATTGTCTTAAAGACAAGAATAAGTGAATAACCATGAGGAAGTAAAACAAAATGGATCAAGAAAAGCACATAGCTGAACTCACGTAGATGATGTTAGCGTCAGAAGCCTTATCCTGATGAGGTGAAACATGGTCGACCAATCCTCGAATCGAATTTGTTTCGTTGATGATCGCATATGGAACTTTTGATCGGCCTCTTCATCTGTTGGATGGCTCCGAGATGCATAAGCTCCAGGGGCCGAAAGCAGCGCGAGCAGAGACCCAGCAACAGCCACAAGGAGTATCCATCTTCACTTTGTATCAGCCTATCAGGTTTTGCATAAGACGAAAAGCATACGCGTTTGCCAACGCACTTATGTCACCGTGTGTGAGTGTATACTACCCTCCAGCGTTTGAGAGATTTTGAACAATATATACACGGAAGATTATATAGAGACCAGACGAAAATATCGATATGATTTCCTTCATTATTAGAAATATTATTATACACTAGACGAAGACCTTGATATCCCGTGTGTTTTCCGTTTAATTTGCCACATGGGCATGCATGTGTCACGTCTAAAGCAATTGACTACCTGGGCAATAGGTACTACCTCCGCCTTGAAAAAAAATATATAATTCTGGTTCCATTCCTAGTTAATGTAGGAGTATTTAAAATTGACTAAGTTTATAGCTAAAAAAATATCAATGTTTACTACACCATAGATATATATTGTAAAAATATATTCCATGAATTCAATAATATTCATTCTGTATCTTAATTAATATTTTCTTGTCTAAACTTAGTAAAACTTGAGGTAGTTTGACTTGTATTGGTAGTGTGCTTTAATTGCGCTCCTTTTGACGGAGGAACTAGGTGGGTTGACTTTGATGTCTAAACACAAGTAAATTGGGCACGTATAAAAATAAGCTTATTTAATTTTCATAAATAGCTGATGGAGATAAAGGATTTTTTTTCCTGCCATATTACACGGTGGAATGACTCGTGCGCCCGGTTATGTGTCCGTGAACTTATCTTTTTTTCGGATAATGTGAGCTTCATCCCTACAAATAAAACACATTGTTCGCATAAATGGTTGTTTAGCACTTCTTCACATCGGTTAAACGCTACATAGTCATGTGCCGTTTCCGTTGGTTGTTTAGCCCATTTATTAAGTGACCGTTTGGACTGATTAATGGCTAAACAACGAGTGACTGACCATTCAGCGTTTAGGATAGCAATGGTGACTGATGAGGAATTAGACCAAATTTATTACAGGACATAAAAAACACTTTAAAAAATTAACAATCTCAGAAGCCAAAAAAAAACTTTTAATCCTAAAAGACATAACCTAACTAACGGTCAGAACTCAGAAGCCCACTGCACCTACCGCCTCGTCATGCTCGATCACCTATAGTGCGTCTAGTCCTTCTATGTATCCCTTACGTGCTGAACAGATGCAATAACCTTTCAGCAAGGAAAACAGCTAGCAGACCTGATCGATCAGGCACAGATTCCTTACCCTTACCACTCATATCATCTGCCTCCCGCCCGCCGGGCACGTTCGTCGTCGATGGGGAGCAGCGCGATCATCCAGGCCAAGCTGGTGGGTGCAAATGTGCAATACACACACATACACTAGGCATGCATGCAGGACTTGTGCGCACGCACGGCACGCTCGCTCGCTAACGCAGCGCCATGGATTTGCTTGCAGGTGCTTCTCGGGGACCTGGGAGCCGGGAAGACGAGCATCGTCGTTTGGTTCGCCAAAGGGCTCTACCACGAGTGCCAGGCACGCACCACATGCATCGTGATGCAAGCTACGATACTTGTGGTTTGGTTTTCCCGATCTCGTGACGATGTGTTTCCAGGAGTCGACAATCGGAGACGCCTTCTTCTCGCAGGTGCTGGCCCTGGACGAGGCCACCGTGAAGCTCGACATCTGGGACACCGCCGGCCAGGAGCGCTACCACAGCCTCGCCCCCATGTACTACCGCGGCGCCGCCGCGGCAGTCGTCGTCTTCGACATCACGAGCACGGTAGGTGGCTGCTGAATGCTGACTGACTGGCCTCCATCGAAACTCTGCACTGCACTGCACACCTGATTGATGAGCTATAAAGCTCCTGCCCTGTTTTGTTCGTGTCCGTGCAGGACTCGTACGTGCGAGCAAAGAGATGGGTGGACGAGCTTCAGAGACAAGGTAGTAAGTACTTGGGAGTACATGACTACATTTCATTTCGTCACTTTTATATTTTCATCAGTAGTTCTCCAAATCAGCTCCAAGAGTTGCTGTTGTTGGCTTGTTGCACATTTTGATCAAAAACAGGGAATCCACATCTGGTGATGGCATTAGTGGGCAACAAGGTCGACTTGCAAGAAAGGCGGCAGGTTGGGACTCAGGTACGCACAACTGTATATCCCTACAATCCCTTCTCCTTAGCGTGTTGCTGAATAACCTAGTCCGCGATACTTTCTCCTACAGGAAGCCATGGATTACGCTGAAGCAAACGGCCTGTTCTTCACAGAGACCTCGGCCAAGACAGCGCAGAACGTCAGCGAGCTGTTCAACGAGCTTGGCAAGTGCTTGTTGTCTCAGCTTCAGTTTTTGTGGATCGTTATGCTGTCGTGTCGGTCACCTTGTTGTTGTTGGTTAGCTAAGCTAAGCTGACCTGACCATGTCTGTACTTGTGCATTGCCAGCTGAAAGGTTGGTGAAGTTGAGGCCTAATCGCCCCGCCGGAATGATCCTGCACGACGCCCAGCGTAGCGATAGCGGCAGCAGGTGGCGCTTCTGCTGATCCGGCTGACACTGTATTTGCAGGCGTGAGTGAGTCAAAACCGAACCAAGCAATAGAATTTTAGTGATGGTATATGTGGAGACGTTCTATTAGCCTAAGTTGCAACGTGATTAGCCTCCACATGCATGGAAATCTTACTGCTCGGGTTCATGATATACAAACTGATTATATACTAACCAAAAACCTGTGGTTGATCAGATGAAAAACTACATCAGATTACATATTTAGACAGTGGATTGTGCATGAACTGAGCTTTGCTTTGTTAAAAATTGTACTGCGGAAGTGGTAAAAAAAAACTACACAAAATTTGCAGTTTGCATATCAGCATATGAACAAAGAATAACTATGCACCATCAGTCGTAGTCTATAATTTATAAGCTCTACACATGCAAGGGGTGAGAGGGTTCTCCCATAGGTCATAGTGCGGGAAGGTGGGTTCGGGGAGCCCGGTTCGTGTCTGATGGGTTATAATCACATTCTCCACGAAAGTCGCCCAAGGCATGTAAGGGTCACCGAAGAACTTGGACATGAGACCCTTGTCTGGCTTGATTGACTTCAGCCTGTGGCGGCCCATGTAGCGACGGTAGCCGATGATCAGCTTGGCGAAATTGCCACCGTGGGTCATGACGAACACATCCGACTTCAGGCATACCAGGAAGTCCAGCGCAGCAAGGCTGGTTACATGCTTCTTGAAAGGCTCCATCTCTTCCTTGCTTGCAAGATCTTCTTTGCTAACCTGAAATTACAAAAGGCTAGGTCAGTTGCATCATTGCATGTACCTTGGTTAGCTGTTTCTTGGCAAAATTCTATATAAATACACAGTTTTAACAAGAAGGTAGCTATCTCAATTACACATATTCCTTTGAGAATCTTTTGCATTCTGGCTATATTTGAAATAGCAAAGGCAGGAAAAGAAGACCTGCAGATAAAGTAAACATCAGAAGCACCTACCAGATTGGGGAACATATTCCTCAAGGGTGCCATTCTGTTGTTTCCACCATACACCTGTCCTGATGCAACATATATCTGAGTTTCCTTTGTATACCCCATCGCACGCAAAATAATTCCTATTTCCCCAGGCTCAAGCGGGCAGCGGCCTTCTTTTCTCTTTTCTAGTGCTAATGACCATAAGTGAGATCCATTCTGCAAGCAACACGTGAACAGTATATTCAAATAATGAAATCTCCACTGAAGAAAGACCCTCCATCCTTTCATAAAATTGAAAGAAAACTGAAAAATGTATGGTATTAAAGAAAAACTGAAAAATGACATCACCTTGTACCGCCTTGGCCATTGCTGCTGTCTGTAAGTAGCCATCATGGCTTTCTCCTCCCTAGTTCCAGCAAAATCACAAAATGAAAGCCCCACCATTCCTTTCTCAAATCGCAAATGAAGAGCCCTTTGGAAGCAGGTATGATTGAGTATGAGATATCAATTTGTCAACTGCAGACTGCAGACTGCCGACTCTTAATAGAAGAGAGTGAACTAAGCTTACATGTATGGATTTAAACTTCCTGTTCGATTCATCATCCTTGTTGCTAGCTTGTCAGCCATTTCTTCAATGTCAGGTAGAAACTTCAAAGCATGATAATTAACTCGGCACCTCAGTCGGTTAATCTCCATTGGAACATTATCATATCTGAAATGGAATGCTTATACATAACTAACACATCTAAAGATGTATCTAAAGGGTAGGACAATGGTTTACTTATATTGCCATCTTGATGCTGTGATACACTTACCCTAACCTATCAACAAATGGCTTGATAGACATTATCTTTTTCTCTTTGATCCTTGGAAGCACATTGTCAATATAAAATTGTGCTGATGCATACTTTGGGACATTTTTCACAGTGCGCCTGTTACAACAAACATACAAAACCTTAAGGCGAGAGTTACAAACACAATCTCTAGCTGCATCAACTTTGTGTAAGGATAATAGCTCTTGCAAAAACAGAAGTGAACAATACAAGTCCAGCAGCAATTTCCAGTCAGGTTGCCCTTCTGGTTCATGTGGTTGAGATGTAATAATCCCCACTAACAATCATAGTGCTTATATTGATGACAAAAAGTAGTATCACCAATATCAGTATAAATCCCGTGTGTATTTTTTAGCAACAAGCTATTCAGTATATAACAGTTAAGACACAATGCATAGCTGAAAATGAAGCAACTAACTTTATACTAGTGAAAAGCTCATCCTTTTCTGTAAACCAGTCAGGAATATCTCGAACGATGCGCACATCCTCCTTCAAATAATTTATAAAATGGTCTACATAAAAAATGTCTTCGAATTTCCTGCACAAAGAGAGAGAAGTTCTCAACTACTACAGGAATCACGACAAGAGAACACATAATGTACACAAAAAGGGTAACCATAAGTTGTTTAGAAGGAAATCGTAGTTCATCACTTACGTTTGATCTTTCCATATTTGGTCCTGCTTTAGCACTGGCAGAATAAGTGTGGCATTCATTATCTTAGCAATTGCAACAGCATTACATATCTGTAAACAAATCAAATAACAAATATCCCAACAAAATTAATTAATGTGCAATGCTACTAAGATAACATGAAGACAAAAATTTCTGGCAACAGAATGATGATCTTCTGAAAATCTAGTATTAAGAACAAAACATCATAAATTAAAAAATTATAAAGTAGATAAAAATTTAGTCAGGTCAACATTTTCCATTTTAAGTCTAACAGCGAAATAAGTCAGGAATTTACTCTTTACAAGGCAACTACTCAAGGGGAAAAAATTGTGACAGGCACATACATACAGCTATACGTTGCTGGTTTAATCCACCCTCAGCATGAATAAATATAAACCCAGAAGTTTCATTCTCTGACACGAGGTCTGCAAAATAGAGATCAAACTGGTTGTCGTCAGGATCCAACCATAGCTTCAAGTGAATGTTTGTCTTGTGCTAAGTTGCAGATTGATAAACAAAAACAATAATGAGTGCTAAGTTGCAGATTGATAAACAAAAACAATAATGAGGAACTAACACAATTTGAAAGTCATGACTTGCTAAGTTAAAATTCTTTCCCAAGAGGGCGTGTAGCCATGTGCAATGGAGATCCTTAGACATGGTGCTTTGGTAAGAAAATTGGCAGGTGCTTTATAAGGTGAATAAGGCGCTTAAGTTTGCTCTACAAGCTTAAGATGTGTTAACAAGGTGGTTGTGCCTATTTAGACTCCAATTTGCTTCGGATAGATTAACTTCTATACATATGCTTAATGGCGTGACAACATCATCTTTAACAGGCATCATTGGTATCAAAGAGGTTACGTTTTGCAACTTTTTTTTCTTGGGATAACTGTTCTATTGCAAATTTACTCTGCCGTTATACAGATTGCTCATCCATGATTATTTTCTCCAACCAGTGTAATTCCAGACGAAGAGTGGCGCGCCATCAACTATCATGGCTCACATCAAGTCAATAATAACAAATCAGGGTGATAAATACAGCAAACTAGGATATAACCAGAGCAGTCACCCAATTAGCATCTCCTTTTTAGCTAGGACACCTCAGATTTTGTACTTGCCTGATACCTCATGGCTCTGACGCTCAGCGCACGGCTTCCACGAAGTTGCTGCTGCATGAGGATTCTCCCACAGAGAGTCCCGCTGGCTGACCTACAGCATTATACCAAGCCAAACAAAAATCACATTCAGGCTCCAATCACATTGCATGCACAATCAGGTTCCCCTGAATGCATTGCTCAATTGAAGGCCTCTTTACCCTGGGGCAATGGAGCCGAATCCCCTCCTTGCGGCACAGGTACGGCGCGTTCTAGGGTCCAGCAGCAAGACGAGCGTAAGCAGCGAGTTAGAGATCTCGATGAAACGTAACGAATATGATATGAGAGAAGCGATCAGGGAATCAGGAACTGACGAGGCGTGCCCAGACGGAAGGCGCGGAGAAGAGCGCAGCGAGGGCGAAGCAGGCGATTGCGGCGACCAGGATCCGGTAGGAGGCGGAGGCGGCGGGGGACCTGGGGTCCTCGAGCGCGAGGAGGGAGCGGACGGGGGGCGGGAGCGACCACCTCTGGTGGGGGCGGAGCCCGTCCTTGCCGCCGCCGCTGACGCGGGGGGACGCGACCAAGGGCGAGGACGCGGACTCGGCCTCGGCGTCCCGCTTGGAAGGGGAGCTGGTGGCGCGGGTCGCCGCCGCCGCCGCCGTGGCGTGCCGCAGCTCGGCCATGGCTCCGCCGCGCGGCGTACGTGCGGCGGGTGCCGCCGCTTCTTCTTTTCCCTTGCTCCTTCGGCGGCGCTAGTGTGTGCAGTGTCGCGGTGGCGGTCTGGCGGAGGCGATGGCAGCGAACTGTTGGGATCTCCCGAGTCCCGAGTGAACTGAGGCGAGGTCGGGTCGGGTTCGTTGGCCTTGGGTCTGGCTGCGCTACCCGAACAGGCGTCAGGCCTCAGGCGTGCCACGGTCACCGACGCACCGGCTCACCGCATTCCAGTTCCAGATGTGTTCACTGTTTGCTCGCAGTTCAGGACGGCTGGACCGCTTAAGCGTGCACAGGAAGCTCTTTTTCATGAAATCATTCTGAATTTGAACTGATTTATGCAAAATTTCTTCTCCTTCCAAATAGGTACTGTATTTTTCAAACATCTGACGACTTTATGCTGTAGTCATTCGACAACACGTATCAGTTGTTGGTGCAGTACCTCTGCTCGCCACATCTCCTGTGGCACGGTATAGTTTGTACCAAGACAGCCCAAAGAGGCATTTATTAAAAAAAAAAAAGACAGCCCAAAGAGGCAAATACACTAGGCAAAATCTGGTAGTGACAGCTGACAGAGTGGCGATAACGCAAGGATTTTGAGAAACAAAATATTCACAAGCAACGCGGAGCGTCGGAGCAAACAGAAAAAAGAGAAATGAAAACTCTATTGCCTATGTAATATGTATATTAACGATTGAAGCCTGCATCTGATATTCTGATGCTGATGCTAATCTACTGTTAACATTTCATCACACGGGAAAAACAAAAGTCGAACACTATATTACAATTAGAGGATTAGGACCTCGCCGGTGCCCAGTTAACTACAGCTAGGATCAAAACAAGAGCTACGGCTGCTACGACGGATCTTGCAACGACTGATTCCAGAGCTTTTTCCTCACGATCAAGACTCTTTCGTCACCTGTTGTGAGCGCATCTTTCTTAGGTCTCACCTCAAATGTCCAGTCATCCCACCTTAGCGCTGGTAAAAGCTTCTTGATGTAGTTAACGACAGCAGCTTTGTCTCTGATGATGGCGTGCCCATAAGGCCTCAGGATGCGGTCCATCTCAATCAGAAGATCCTCCAGGCTACATCCCTGCTTCTCTATCTCAGAAAATAGGAGCCAGGCGTGAAGGAGGTCGTAGGTGCGCGGGTATGTGGAGAATGATTCACACCTTCAGTTAAACAAATCGTAGATAAAGAAAATTAGCATCAGCCATATGTAACAGCAAGTAAGGAATAAACGGGACAATGCACAAGAAATTTCTTTCAGTGGTTATCACCATGTCAGGCATAAGTCAACTACGGAAGACGTTGCAAATGGAAAGAAGGGTCTTTCAAAAAAAAAGGAAAGAAGCAACAGGGCAGGGCACCAGGATCAGATGCGTTGATAGGCCTAACTTTTTTTTTCATTTTTCATTTTTTTCCCCAACGAGCCTGATGTTTTTAGGTTTTGTGTAATCATAATAACAATGCAGGTAATTTTCTAATGGATAGAACTATGGCCTCAAGGCTCAAACACTACAGCCACATGTTCCAAAATATGACAGCCAAACTACCTAATTTCTGAAAATCATGTTTATAACTGCAGCCACTATGCTAGTTGCACAGATTAAGAATTACACACGGTTGCATCTTAGAAATCAAACAAGATAATATCACCCCTCCCCTTCCACACATGAAAACGAATTTATATGGACAACCATGAGAAAACAAGTTGATAATTTATATTTATGGCTAATTAATTGCAGACTATAGTCATGCAATCAAACTGTTATCTGCATGCCACAAGAGAACATAAATGTAACAGTTCTAATTTCTAGGTATGCAAATTCCACCTTGAAACAATTAAATAAATAGATGGGAAGTATGTCAAAAAATCTTACCAATCGTGGGTAGTCCCCATTAAACCACGATCGTATATAACCTTCAGCTTTCCAGATTCCGTGAAAGGAACTACATTCATTACCCAGACATCCTTTTTCTTCAGAGATGCTGCAAATCCTCCAAGGTTAGCACTCATATCCATAACATTTCTAAAGGAATCCTTTCGTATCTCAGACTTCATGTGCTTCCAATATTGAATTACTCTAGAATGCCAAATGTCCTGCAAATAATATTTCAAGGTTAAATAGATCACCATCAGAGAGGGTATGTGTGGTTCAGTGGTTGTGTGCCCATGTTGCAAAACGCTGATGTTTCATACTAACTCACATTGTCTTCAGAAAATTTGTTTGAACTAATTCCAAGCTCCTTCAGGCAAGGTGGTGGTGCTGTGAGCCTTTGTGGCCAGGGAAGTAATTTGCTGCCTTTAGCCTTGTTAACTCCTGTTTAGGTGAAAAAACATGCCCAGATCAGATTGCAGTGTGCTGAACCAAATAACCAATAGGGCCCGACACATAGGCGAAGTGTGGATGGCCTAATCAGTGTGTATGTTCTCTTTGTAGCTTGGTAGATGAGGCAGCGATTCACCTCTTTGCTCATTGCCAGTAAAGCAAGCAATGGGGCAATGGACTTTGGGCAGCATGTGGGATGCCGATCAGTGACACATTCATGTGGGTGTCTCAAAGTGATGGAGCGCGGCCACAACAACTGGACATCCGGTTAAGGCAGTTCGGCCCATGATACTTCTTGTGACTTGGAAGATTTGGAAAGAACATAACGCTAGAATCTTTAAGCGACAATTCTCCACGGCAGATTCCCTCATTGCTAAAACTAAGGAAGAGACAAGAACTGGTGTATGGTAGGAGCCAAAAGTTTGAGAGAAATCATCCCTGGAGAATAATTTTTTCATGTACACTGTGTTGGTCTTTTGACCAAACCTTTTTTTAACCCCTGGTTATTAATATAAGCTTGGCAGAGCTCCTGCCAGATCATTCAAAAAAAAAGGGCCCAACACATGATTCATACCTGAGCTATTTAGTATAGAATGACAACTAGGTTCACCATTTCCTTAGTAAACATGCAAGCAGAATTTGATTTATAGTTCCTGCTAAAGTTGTGTATTCATCATCAGGCTAACCCTAGAAGGGTAGCAATGTATATTGGTCATACATGGGCCTCATGGGCCTAATACACTCATACTCTCATACTCCAACACCCCCCCGCAGTCTGAACTACCGGCGCAGCGGAGTTACAGACTGGACATGAAAAGAAGCACACACACGATCCCTCCACAGACGCAACTAGCCACCAATGATGTTGAGGCTGGAGCGAAACTCGGTGAAGGTCGATGACGGGAGGCCCTTGGTGAAGATGTCGGCAAACTGGGAGGTGGTCGGGACGTGGAGGACCCGAACATCGCCGATGGCAACCCGATCACGGACAAAGTGTAGGTCGATCTCCACATGCTTGGTCCGTTGGTGCTGCATGTGGTTGGTGGAGAGGTACACCAGACCGACGTTGTCGCAGAGACCAACGTGCTCGGAGAGAGGGCTGTGGAGCTCGGCAAGGAGCCGTCGGAGCCGGAGGCCTCAACCACGCCGTTAGCGACAGCTCGGTACTCGCCTCAAGATCTTTGGATCGGGAGACCACCGGCCGGGCGCTTGGACGACCAGACACCAAAGTTGCCGCCTAGAAAGACAAGTAGAGCCGGAGGTAGAGCGCCGAGTGTCCGGACACCCCGGCCCGGGGCGTCGGTGTAGACGCACGAGCTCGGTGGAGGAAGACCGTCAAGGAGTAAGCCGTGGTCGACAAAGGTGCTGCGGAGGTAAGTGAGGAGGCGCTTGAGCGCATGAGGTGAGGCTCTCGGGATCATGCATGTGAGGGCATATCTGGCAGATCTTGCATAGGTGATGTCCGGCTGGTGAAGGTGAGGTATCAAGGGCACCTGCAAGACTCCAGTGGCGTGGGAGTGCGCCACGGCGATTCCCACGGCCTCGACAACTTGCCACAATGTGTCAACTGGAGTAGAGCAGGCTTGCGATAGTCATCCCAAAGACGCCCAGATATCAAGAGGTGTCTGCCACTGGTGAAGGAGAAGGCCGGTGGGGCGAGGCTCAACAAAGGACCCCGAGGAAGTGGTGGAGCACACCAAGATCCTTCATAGCAAACTCCTGCAAGAGAGGCGGCGACACATACCGAGTAAGGACGATCGGAGGTCAGAGGACAATATTATCAACGTGAGCAGCAGATAGGCGCCTCTCGGCTCCATGGTGATAGATAAACAGGGGCGATCGACTTGGCCTCCACAAACCCCAAAGTCGTGAAAGCGAAGAAGCGAGAATACCACGCCGGGGCCTGCTTGAGCCCGTAGAGAGACTTGTTGAGCCGGCAGACCATGTTCGACGAGAAGAGTCAACAAACCCACCGGTCAGCTCGAGAGAGACCGTCTCGGTGAGAGTCCCGTGGAGAAAGGCATTTTGACGTCCGGTGATGCACGGCCAAGAGCGATCGAGAGCCGGGAGAGCATCATCGCGTATGGTGGCCGGCTTCACCACGGGCCGAAAGTCTCATCATAATCGACTCGGTATACCGAAAGTGAAACCCCGAGAGAACCCAATGAGCCTTGTACCTCTCAAGGGAACCATCGACCGCCGCTTGTGTGTCCGAGATCCACTTCCGGTGACGACGTTGGATCCGGGTGGACGGGGCACCAGATCCCATGTCTGGTTGGCGAGGAGAGCCGCGTACTCCTCTTCCATCGCGCGGCGCCAATGAGGGTCCGACAAGACGTCGCGAACGGAAGAGGGTATAGGAGAGATCTGCGGGTCGTCGGGCATCGTCGCGAGAGCCCGGGGCAAGAGGGGTACCACCAAGTGTCGTGTCACCATAGGGTGAACATGCCGCGGGTGTCGGTGAAGGAGTTATGGTGGTACACCGCGACCACGACACGGGCAAAATGAGGTGGCGGTGGCGGAGAAGGGCCACCGGTGGTGTAGGCGCCACCGGTGGAGAAGGGGACCCCGGTGATGCCGAGGCAAAGCAAGCCAGCGCAGACACTGCCGCCGAGAGACGGCATAGAGGTGCGACAGCGACAGGCGCCCCCGGACCAGCTAAGGGACGTAAAGGCGGAGGCCTCAGGGCGACGCCCGGACCCGGGCGGCCGCAGGCCAGGGCGTCACCGGTGGGTGGCGAAGGGGGCACGGGCCCGGCCGAGGGGCACGGGAAGCGATACTGCAGGAGACAATGGTAAAAGTGGCCGGACCACCGTGTCGATGGGAAACAAAGAGAAGGGGTCCGGATCGGGGGTGGGAGATGGTGTGGTGGTGGTGGAGAAGGGGAAGACAGACTCATCAAACACCACATGGCGAGAGATGATGACCCGACGGGAGGTGAGGTCAAAGCACCGGTACCCTTGTGATCCGGGGAGTACCCAAGGAAGACACAGAGCGGAACGGGAGCCACTTGTGGGGAGCGGTGGCAGTGGTGTTAGGGTAACACGCACACCAAGACACGAAGGTGGTCATACTGAGGAGGGTACCAAGAGAGGCGTGGTGTGGTGTGGGAGCCAGCAGCAGCGGTGGAAGGAAGGCGGTTAAGGAGATAGGTGGAGGTGTGCGGACTCTCCGCCTGAAGCGGCAGTGGCACGCTGGAGCGAAAAGGTGCGCATGGTGTCGTCGTGGAAAGCGAATCATGCGCTCGGCCTTGCTGCTCGGGAGGAGGTATACGGGCAAGACATGCAGCGTTTGGACACCGTGAGAGAGGGAAGAAGGCACGGAGGTGCCGTTATCGAACTCACGACCATTGTCACACCGGGCGGCCTTGATGGTGAGGCCGAACCGAGTAGACACCAGGCGAAAAAGTGGAGAAGAGTGGTGAAGGTATTCGACTTCGCACGCAAAGGGAAAGTCCACGAATAATGCGAAAATCGCCAACCACCACAAGATAGTATTTATACCCAGAAATGCTGATGACAGGAGATGTCCATAGGTCGCAGTGTACAAGATCAAACACATGCGTAGCATGTGAAGAAGAAGAACAAAAAGGGAGACGAACATGACGGCCCAGCTGGCACGCATGACACAAGTGCTCATCGTGAGCCCGAGTACAACCAATGTCGGAACTGCGACTAAGCTGCGTCAGAGCATCACGTCCAGGATGGCCAAGGCGACGGTGCCAAGTGGTGGAAGAAGGAGTGGCGGCGAAGGCGGTGACAAAGTAGACGGACAATGACGAAGAGGAAGCGTGACGCCGAAACCGAAGGGTGTAAAGGGGTCCCGTGCTGTCACATCGGAGAAGAGGACGCCGGGAAGCCAAATCCTTTACAGTAAGACCAGAAGAGTCAAATTCAACAGAACAAGAATTGTCAGCTGTAAAACGACGAATAGAAAGAAGGTTGTGAACCATAGAGGGTGCAACAAGAATGTCAGGAAGACGAAAGGAACCATGAGTGCCGGCGGCACCCACGGACGTAACTCTCCGGTGTGTGGTGGCTTCATGCCCCCACGTCCCCTCCGCATGGCGACGGCGGCCACCACGCTTTCCCCACCCCCGCCTGCCCGGGGAGGAGAACCAAGAAGCGACGACGGCGGTGGGAGCGAGGGAACGCGCCAGAGGAGTAGCGGCAGGCGGGGCGAGGAAGACGAGGACCTCAGCGTGGAGGTGGACCTCAGCCGACGCCTTACGAGTGAGCTCCTCCATGACAAGGTCGCCACGGACCTGCAGGAAGGAGGAAAGGGCCTCTCGCCGGGTGATCCACGTCCGGAGGTGGGCGAAGCGGTCATCGAGCCCGCGGAGGACATTGAGGACCGTAATCGCGGTCCTCCACGGCCAAATAAGGTCGCCGAGGAGTCCGCCATGCTCTTCATGCGCGCCGGCAGAAGTCGCCAACGGAGAGGTCACCACAGGCGGCGGTGCGAAGCTCGCGATCGAGACGCAGGCCCGGCTTTGCATTGCCCGGCAAACCGCCTCGAGCGCAAGCCAGGCCCGGCGAGCGTCAGCAGAGTTGCGGACGAGGTCGTGGAGGTCTAGGGAGATCGTCCCGATGATCCAGGAGAGGACGACGCCGGCCCAGCGCAGCAGCCCACGATGAGGTCTGGATCACGACCGAGGCGTCGACTAGGGCGTGGTCGCCGAGGGCGTGGCGCGAGGGTGAGGAGAACCAGTCCCTCCAATGGGCGAAGAAGAGGGCGACTTCAGTTCGAGGACGACCGGGACGAGGAGTCGGATGTTCTGGACACCCCCGGCCTGGTAGTGGAGCTGAGCGACGTGCGGGTCGGCCGGGTCGTGCCAGATGACCGTGGTGTGAGACGCGCGGTGACCCGTCGAGCCTGAGGAGGTGGCCGCGGTGTCGTAGGATGTAGGGAGGACGAGGAGCTGCCTCGCCAGCCGATCTGGCGGGCGGAGCATCACCAAGCGTCGCGCCAAGGCCTCAAAAGCGGGCGGCCGCCCGCACCCGGCCTCTGCTGTCGGCAATGCCGCCGCAGTACCACGAGCAATGGCGAGAGCGGAGTTAGCCCTACGTCCCTGGAGAGGGGCGGTGGGGCGGCAGAGGAGGAGGAGGCGGGAAGAAGAAAGGCTCCAGTTTTCCCCCGCCCCCAGGCAAGGCAAGCGTGTTGTCAACGCCCGCCTATGACGGCCAGCAGCAGCAATGGCGGCGCCAATGGCAAGTGTGGGCTGCTGCATACCAAGGGCAACAGCCAAGCAATGACAGCCCAGCCAAGCCATCCAGCGTCCATCTGGCAAGAGGCCGGCGGCCATGCTACCGGGCCCAGACGGAGTAGGAAGGGAGGGAAAGCCCGAAGTAGGTTGGGGAGGAGGGGAGGGCGGCCAGCCATGGCGGCAAAGAAGTCGGCCACGGCGCTTTGCTGCGGTGGGTGGGGAAGGGGAGGAAAGCCTAGTCTGATACCATGCTAAAGTTGTGTATTCATCATCAGGCTAACCCTAGAAGGGTAGCAATGTATATTGGTCATACATGGGCCTCATGGGCCTAATACACTCATACTCTCATACTCCAACAGTTCCAAAACTATAAGAACATGCACGTCGGGACTCAACCAAATACAGAAATACAATGCTATGATTCTCAGATTACATATGGTGGTTCAGCACGGAAGATGTACAGAATTCTGGCAAATTGTACGACAGGTCATATTGTAACAGTAAAAATTCAAAAAAAAAAAGGATAAACATTTTTACCAATGGTCACCAGTAACTATGTGTTGTGACAGTCCTAATAAAAATTTTTGAGGCATTTTAAGAAAATCCACCAAAATAGGTCTCATGGTGTGTGTGCGAAAAATAGTAGACGGTAGCAACTAAGGTGAGTGGGCATCACCGACAAAACTTAAGAAAAAAAAAGGGAGTAATCTATGGATCTACTCATACAGATTGGCACAATGAAGGGGGAGATGGTGCCTTCCTGCAATTGTCAGAGCAAACCATACTTGGGTTTGAGCCTATTGGCAGTTGGATGGGCAACCCGGGCAATAGCGTTTTGGCACCATGTATTTTTCTTCACATAAAATAGATATAAAATTCAAACTCCACAAGACAGTATAAACTATTATGGCATTTGGTAATCTCAAGGAAAATGAAGGGAGCGAACTTACTCTTAGAGTATGGAGTTAGGCATGCTTTCATGGGTACATTCCAAGCAGCATCTGGATCATCATCATGTTCGCACATGGGGGAAGTGTTCTAGGCTCTCTCCTCATATAGCATCCATTTGTCAATGGTTTAGCCCATATCACCGTCTGGTTCTTCTTAGCCGCAACCCGCCAACACATCCTTCGAGCAAGGTCACTCATCTGTCTCCATAGCTTCCTGTTGAAGGGGTCCAAAGCATAGGCCTCCGGTGATGAATACACAAAATATCCTCCAGGCCTTAATATCCTATCCACTTCCAGCAACAAGACCCCATCCCTCTGCAGCCAGCTAATCCGACAACGAGAGCAGTGTGCCATTTCGAATGAGCGGCTTGGGTATGGCAGCCTCCTAGTGCCCAGCACACCAAGGGTTGCCGGGATCCCTCTCTCTAGGGCAAACTGAATTTGATTTTCATGCACGTCATTGGGAGCGAGAGACATCGTAAGTATATCATGCGAAAGAAGGTAAGCGCCAAAGCTGGCAACCCCACAGCCGACATCAAGCACATTCCTGACGTTCCCTCCATTGTTGAGCTTGCCATTTGGAAAATTGAGCATCTACCACGACAGATAAAAAGCATTGCTCGCATTAGCCTACGATATCAACCATGTGCAGTAGATTAACATCAGGAATATTTTCAAACCTGCGCGAGGTGCACAATATACTTGTCAGCGCCAGTGTGGAAGTGGGTGCCCCCACCAGGGAAGTTGATCTTATCGCCATTGACGACCATCCACCGCTGGTCTGACTTCTCAGCAGCAAGGTGCGGGTGGGGTATGTTGGCCTTCCGAACCTCGTCCCTGCTCCTCGGCCACATGATGGGAACCTAATCAAGCATCGCGCGGACGCGCGCACATCACATCAGCGTGAGCATTAGAGCAACACAAACAAGGTGCAAGTGCAACACGGCACTCTGCAATGTAACACACGGTGGCTTCTCCCTCACCTGGTATCCGACGGGCGGTGGGATGAGGCAGTTGAGGCGGCGCGGCGCCGGTGGGCAGTGGCGCTCGTAGTGCTCCATGAGGGAGAGGTTGAGCCGGAGCCGGAGCCGGAGCTGGTAGTGGAGGCGCCGGTCCAAGCACGGGATCAGCTCCGAGTGCCGCGCGTCGCACACCTGTTCGATTTCGAACCCCACGACACACGCACGCGGGGTCAGCACTCAGCAAAGCGCAGAGTCACAGACCGCTCATCACGACTCCGTTAACGAAACAAGCAGAGGGCGCGGGTGTTGGGCGGCCGCGGTGCGCACCGGGATGGAGGAGACGACGAGGTCCGCCGGGAGCGCTTCCGTCCCCTGGGCCCGGAACCGCAGCCGGAGGGGAAGGCGAGGGTGCGCGCGGCGGATGGAGGGGGCGAAGGCGGCGCCGTAGAAGAGGCAGAGAAGCGCCAGCGCGACGACGGCCGCCGCGAGGAGGGACGCGAACGCGCGACGGCCGAGCGCGCCACCCCCGCCTGCTCCCCTGCCCTGCGGCGGCGGCGGCCTCATTGCCGTTCCCGCTCGCGCCGCGCGGCGTGGCGTCTTTACTTCACTGGTGGTACGGCATCGGCATGAGTGGTAGCGGCGGCGGAGCGGGGCAGCGTGCGTGGGGCTCACCTCGCTCGCTGCTTGGGCCTGACGCACGCGGACGCGGAACGGCGCAAGGGGAAAACGCGTACTGGCGCCGTAGGGACCAGTAGGGAAGCAAATGAGAGCGGCGGATTGGTGGGGTGGGAGCAGGATGGCAGGAGGCGCGGCAGCCGGCAGGGAAGCCGGAAGCGGGTGGGGGCCGCGGTCCCGTCGCCCGTGTGACGGTGTGAATGCGTGGCCGTGTCCTCGTGACTCGTGAGGCTGAACCCGCTTCGGCTGCCCGCAGGACTGAGGGGGTGATTGGTCGTAGGACTCGTAGGAGGCCATCCGGAGCACCGTCCTAGCACCGCTCGTCGTCGTGTTTGGATGCCTGTCTCTATTTTTTTTCTGCTTCGTCTCATTTATGTTTGTTCCTCCGTCCCGTACGATCCGTCTTCTCGATTCTTACTTTCCTCACGATACAGGACGACGCGATGCACTCATAATACAGAGGCCCATATGTCATACACTCAAAACTCTCATCTATACATACAATCAAACAAGATTCATCTTATACTGAACCAACATAACTTAAGTGAATGTATGGTTTAAGCATACATCTCACTGTCCTACACCGACTCTCCGTCTCCACTCCCATGACCAAAGCGGAATCACCCCCTGAATGAATTCTCACACCAGTCACGAAACGCTGCGAGCCCACTAGGCCGAACGAGAATTCGCATTCCCAGGCCCACTTAGGCATACACTCCTCGCATCAGGCGCCGCCCCTCAGCGTCCCTCACAAGCCGCTCCCAAAAACCCAAAACCCGCTCCTCTCGAGAAGCACCGCGGCGGAGAGAAGCCGCCGGCCGCTGAGGACCCCGTTGCGTGCCTTTCTTCCTCGACGAGCCATGCTGAACGGAATATTTGAGTACTGGGGTTCGTATCGTACGCCGAGATCTTTCTTTTTGTTCTTTTATTCTCCGATCGCGCCTGCTTTAGTGGATATTAGGGTCCATCGCCCTGTTTATATTGTGTCTCTGTCTCGTCGTCTGCTAGTTTGTGCTGCTAATCGGGGATGCTGGATCCAATGTAGAAAGAGTGAGAGGTTCGATCAACCTGTTCATCCCCTAGGGTTCGTAGATGACCTTTGTGCGATTTTGCGTTCGCCTTGTTTGTCTCGGTCTGTTGCTTGGGGAAAGGTTTTGGTTGTTTCCTGGGGGAGGCTGGTTGGTTCAGGTTAAGACGACGACTTGGTTGCCACTGTTTTTCAGTAGTATGTATTGCTGCTTCCTTCTGTAAATTTCGTTGATTGGTGTAATTCAGTCTCGTAATTCCATGAATTTAGGGATGGGTGATTTTTAGCTTATGTGGCCATTGCAGCAGTGGCACATGGTAAATCAGAATGCTCAGTGACTGACAAGGTCGAGGGAGACAAGTTTAGTTTGTAAGGTTTTCAGCTTTTCATGAACTGTAGAAGGTTTCCTATCAAATCAGATAAACATGATGCTGTGATAGTGTGATTACATTGTGCTTGTGTAGGCTTAACATTACATTTACTCCAATGCACCTAGTCAACAACTTTGGTTACATTCTCCTCATGATATTGTATTCTTTGACGATATAAATGCAATTGATGTTATAGTTGGATGTTAGCACTGCCAATGGCCTTGTTCCCTTAGAAGAAATCTCCTATTTTCCTGCAATTTGCTACTATGTCAATAGTTTATCTTTATCTTACTTATTGTGGATACTAAAAGGTATGCTAACATTACTAGGAGTTGTAGTCAGACCTGGAGTGACAGTGAAGTGTGACCCAGGAGAGTTCTGGTGCCATGTTTCACAGGTTGGTTTCTACTAGTAATAATGACTCTTGGTTTATCTTGTTTTTGGGAGGTTCCTGTTTTTTTGACTTTTCAGTTGTTGGTCTTTTAAGATAGCATTACAGGATAGCAAGGGGAATGAGGATGTGAAAGTTTTTGTGAAGGTTAATGGCAAAGAGTTTCCAATTGGAACACTATCAGTTGACAAATACCCTCAGTATACAACTAGTTTGGTATTCGAGAAGGAGTTTGAGTTACTACACACCTCGAAAACCAGCACCATCTCCGCCCTTGGCTACAAATTTAGGCATTGCAAGAGAAAATATCCTTCCATTTTACTTTCTTCAATATTTTCAAAGAAGCTCGAACACAAATTTCTGTTCCTTAACCGCTTCTCTGTCTTTTATCACATATGACAGTGAAACAAGCACTGAAGAAGGTAATGCTCTTGTTCTTTCAATATTGGACATCCCTATTTTTTTATCACTTGGCATAAGTAGCATAGCGATTGATGTTTCAGATGATGAATCTGATGAGGAGGTTCCACAGGCTATTCCATTATACCCTAACACAGATGGTATATCCTTGTTCTACAAAGAAATTTTGTTTTTATGAGTTAAGATTGCATTTCTTCTCTCTGCATTATGACTGCACACATATACATGTTTAGCACATTTATCCACTATCCTCATTGTATATGTCACAGAATCCGCTAAATTAGATAATATGAGCTCACATTTGGATCCTTGAAGCACTCACTTGCTTAACATTGTTTACGTTCAGATGATAAAAGCAAAGAAAGTAAATGTGGTGTGGAGAAGCCTGCTGCTACCAAGTCCTCTAAAGCAAAGGTTTGCTTGGAGGAAGCAAAGAATCCTGACAAGCATAAAGATGATGTTGGTGGCACTGACGATGATGAAAGTGACAAAGATGTTGATTCAGAAGGTGGTGAATCGGGTGATGATGAGGTTGGTATAAGTGATGAATCATGACTGAGATATCATTTCCTCCATGTTTCAGTTTTTTCTCTCATTTGTCTAGATTGTTTTATTGTGATACCGGTATAAAGAATTGAGTGAGCAGCCAAGTATAAGTCATTTTTTTGTATTACTGAAGATAACCTAGGTAATCATCTATTGTGAACCAAATTTCTTATGTATATGATTATACTTTTTTTCCTGTGTTTATTACTGTATATACTATATACTACTATTGGTTATTTGGTTTGGGTCTGTTATCCATTTCCTGAACCTACACCTTTTTCAGCCTGAAACTGGGCATTGTTCCTGTAAGTGCACGATGCATTTCTACCAGCACTGGATATCATTTGTATTCTGACCATATTATTCTTTTGCATGACATGGTTGATGCTCAGAATTCCAGTGATGAGGATGATGGTGACAGTTCAAATGAAGAAGATGATGAAGACTCTCCAAAGGTGTGAGCTTTTTAAGCTGACTTTTTGTTACATTCTCCTTAATCTTTGTTTTGTATGATATCCTGATATTAGTTTTTTATGCAGAGTGCTAAGCGCAAGAATAGGCCAGCAGAAACACCCTTGAAGACACCTCCAGGGAAGAAGGCAAGGATCACAACACCGTCTATGGGCAAAAAAACTGGTGAGAAGCTTTACATTCGATCGCAAACTTGTATAGCTCTCAGTTCTTTTCCATGGCACCAGAACCTCACTTTGTGATGTACTTTGCAGTCAGTGATGATGCTAAGAAAAGTAACCACGTCCATGTTGCAACCCCTTATCCATCATCGAAGCAGGTGAAGATGACTCGCTCAATCATTGACAGCTCTAATCAATCCACTGGCTATGCCTGCAAGTCGTGCAGCAAGTAATTTCTCGCCTCTTGTATCAGAAATTCTTCCAACTAAATGCGTTCATGCATTCTCACACATGGACGTCCTTTTTGGTCTTGTTCAGGACTTTCTACTCTTCCGTCGGTCTTGAAACTCATTGCAAAGTGAAGCACAGTACACGTAAGTGCAGTAGCATTCATGGACTAGGGTGTTAAGGAAGTTCGTTATCAGGCAACTGAATTGTGGGTTGGAAAGTGCTGTAAAGAAGTGTGTTTCATTCGTTTACTGCTAAGGCAGGACCACAATGTCTGATGCCTATTGGTCTTCTAGAACATGTTAGTGTACTGCTACGCTGCTGTTTTATCTGCCCAGATTTTCTGCCGAATGGCTAATTGAGATTTTCTGGACGAATGATGCCTGGTTGCACTTGCACCTTGCGTGTTCTAGCTTTGTAGCGGGTGTTGAGAATTTTAAGATAGAATCCCTCAGTTTCTTACGTAGGGCATACTAGGATTTGAAAGAATGAAAGGTAAAACTTTTTGACTAATAATTAGTCAAAACTAGCGTTTGAAAGTAGAGATATAGATCGTCATCTCCCATTATTTTATTCTAACTACTAATAAGAGGAATCAATGGTCGAAATTTTCCTGTGCTTCACATATTGGAGATTCCGAGCGTATGATAAATCCATTCATTCCATTCAGGTTGTCAGTTATAACTGTGTTTTTTTTTCTCTCTGCTGCTCCATTGAGGCATTGACCATAATCCATTCAGGTTGTCAGTTATCACTGCGTTTGTTTTTCTCTCTGCTGCTCCATTGACCATTGGTGACGGAACGATGATACAGTCACACTCACACTCATATAGCTACAATTTTCTAACGTGGACTATTTTTTTTTCTCACAGATGCATTATAGCATGCTTCTTAAAAGATGAAACTGGACTTCAAGAATCATATAAAATTTTATACATTAAAAATGATAATTATAGGGATACAATACATTGGAAATGGAACAATTCTTTCAATGACAATACATTATAAATGCAACGCTCAGTTAATTTTGTACACACGAGAACAATTAAACAGAACTATCCAAAGTAGCCTTGAAGATTTTCGCGCACCAACTCTCGTTGGCGATGCTTTGCTCGCATGTTGTTGCACTAGTACGTTGCGCGCGTCGTGATTAGGTGGAAATTCATCCATCCAGTTCAATGTACACACCCATGACAGAAGCTCAACGTCAAACTGCAGCGTGGCATTTAGAGGGATGACTGGTGGTGAACCATCTTCACCATATGCAAGCTCTGGTGGGATGGTGAAAACAGCATTTTCGCCTTTTGTTCATAGTCTTGATGCCCAAATCCCATCCCTTTATAACCTGTCCTATACCGAGTAACAATATTGTTTACTTCAGAAACATGCACCATTTCACCGCAGTGTATACTTTAAGCAAGTTAAGTTTAATTATACTACAAAAGGAGAATACTCATGTGATATACAACTTCATAGTAGTAGACCAGTAGGATCAAAACAATACACACTAACCAGAATCCTCTGTGGGCAGTATAATTGACAGAACCTACAGAACAAACCTCCAGTCACTTTGAATTTCAATGCGCAAACAAAACCTGAAACAAAGTACTTGTTCTTCTACTTCAATGAGGAATAGTTAATTTTGACTTAAAATCAGGATGTTAGGATAGAGATCAATTAAGGCATGTCGCCACCAATACAATGTGGAACAAAAATCAAACATATACAACATTGCTTAACTCTGAGGGTGTACGGGGCTAGCCACCATCTTAGTGACTAGATAAAAAAATGCACAAACATTAGTAATATGACGTTCAACTCAAGACAAGGTTAAATCTAGTAAATTAAGAAATATGGATTAATCTAGGAAGTTTACACAGTTACTATCCACAGCATGAGCAGCATTTCCTTGGGGGTCTAGCAATTTCAGTATAGCTCAAGTAAAAAGGCTACAAAGGAAATAGCACTTTGCATTTACCTTCTTGATGTACATCTCGACCAAATTGGTCAGGTCAGTCCACGGTCTGTAGTCACCGCAGAAGGTTCCCTTTAGGGTCCTATTGTTCAGGAAGTTCAATGGGTGAATCCTGAATTCATCATCCTTCAGTGGCACACCCACCAGCATAGCACCCCCTACTCCCCAACCCTGGATTTAGAACAGAGCTGTTAAAATTAAGTCTAAATAGCAGACTACAAATGTAAGAAAGAAAGCACATGTTTATTCAGGTTTACATCAGGATCACATTCAAATGCCTGGCTCATAGCGCGTTGATGTTACATAGACAACCATGATCTGACAGGAACCTGCTCTGAACAGTGGGTATAAATCCTTTTTGCAAAACAGAGTACAAATTGGGTAACAATATATAGATGACTGGAGAATAGATGGCGTAAAAGGTGCATTTCTGCATACTCTAGCCTGAGAGTTGAGACGTCTAAACATCACATAGTTTACATAAAACCAAACAAATATTAAGACTTAAAATAGATGACGCAGGTACAATGTCAAGGGCCGTCTCTCTAGGTTTAGACAACTGAGTATATCACAATACATACAGATTAAGTCCACACATGAGACAGATGGCTAGAGAAACTGATAATTGCTGCTAGGACAAGGCAAGAATTGTGTGTGTTGCTCAGTTGAAATTGGAAAATAATACCTTAACAGGAACTAAATACTGTACACCAAATAAAATCTATAATCTTTATTAATAGCTTCCATCATGCATTTGGTACATACTGTGCAGAAAGAACCATTGCAAGAAAGAACTGAAGAGGCTACTCCAGAATTTATTCGGAAGTCCATAACTGCAAGCACTAAAAATAAACTGTGGTGGGAACCTATATCTCTGCAATGGATGGTTGTGCCTTGGTTGACTAAAGCAAATGCTATTTATTGAAGCAAACGTATGCATATCTTAAAAATTTAGGTTTGAGATAATTAAAACATCAAGGCATCTTCCTGAATAGACAGAAAGCACTTCATTGGGGCATTTTCAATGTAAAACAATTTAGGGAAAAAAGGAGAACAGAAGAAAGTAACAAATAAAAGAACTAACAAAGAAGATTTATTCACCTTAGTCAACTGACGTTAATCTGAATATATCTCAGTTGGCCAGGCTATTGTATGAGCAATACGTATACTTTCAGAAATCGAACTTTTCGACAGGGACATACCATGCCAAGCCGACCTTCCTGTCTGTCTCCCACGTACGTTCGACGATCTCCCACGCACTTTGGACGGACACAGGATGAGAAGCCCCCTCTACTCAGCAGTACCTTCAGAAAATGCAGTCACAACATAAGAAAAATATGAATACAGGTAATCCAAAAGACAAAAGAAAGCTCTATCCCAAGGAAGAGCAAGCACTGTCCCAAACGAAGAGCAAGAGGCCTGGCCGGCCAGCTGAGGTTGTTAGCACATAGTTGCTATGGGGAGGAAGAAAAACAGAGAAGCAGAGAGAGGGATATGGTATCCTCCCACATAAAAAAAAAAAAACTTGAAACAGAATTACAGAAATACATTCTAAGTTCAGGAGATATATAGACAATTGCAAAACAAAACCATATCATGGAAACAAGAAGCTATGTTGATGATTGGCACCAAGACGACACAACGATTCCGGAGCCCAGTTACAACCAAGAATTGCTGGGGCATTTATAATATCAAGGAAGGTCAACGAACACTACGTATCGAAAAGAAACACAACATATGAATCGCATGCAACAAACTTAGCTTGTCACGATGACAGTGATTGATGGGCTCTTCTAAAACAAAAAATGGCCAAAACAACAGTAACCAATTCAATCAGAAGAGGTACCAACATTACGGCGGTGGAAGCTGTTAGCTATGAACAGATGCAAGGAGGGCTAAACAGGTAAGATATGGTTCTTTGTGCTCACTCTCAACAGATTTCCAAACCGGAAATCCTACAGCCAATAACACAACATAACAGAAAAGGCGAAATAACCAAAAATCAAAAGAGAAGAAAAGAGAGAATCATAGAAAGGAACATTAAAATGAGAAAGGAGATGTCAGGTCAGGCGTGCTGAGCTGTATAAAGTAATAGGAAACTACTGATTCAGAAACCTTTTCTATTTTACTAAAAAGAGTATGAAACTACTGAAACATTTGTGCATGCCACAATAATAATGCATCTATCAGTTAGGTACTAATATAGGATTTTTTTATTTTTAACACTTTTTTTAAACTATTTTCAAATCTTACACTGTTTTTTTTTCAAAACTAACACTTTTGGCTGCGCCTATTCACATGGCGCGGCAAATTCACGCTGTCGCGCCATGCATGGCGGCACGGGCGGGGGTAGCCACGTGTCAGGCAGCAACGGCGTTGGCCGATGACGTGGCCGAGCTGCCGCGCCGTGGATCATGGAGCGTCGGTGCCGCACCGCCGGTCATGGCGCGGCCAGGCCCGACTTAACCGTCGCGCCGCGGACTCCATCCCTGGCTCCCTCCCTCTGTTTGTCTGGCCGACTGGAAGTGAGGGGGCTCGAGGTGCCCGCGCCGCCACCTCCCGAGTCCCCCGCGCCCGGCCGCCACCCTTGCCGCCACCCTCCCTACCTTCTCCAAGCTCCTCCTCGGCCTCAGTGAAGGTAACGGTGGTCTTATTAGTAGTTTGAACGGTAGATTAAGGATTAGGATTGATAGCTAGGGTTTTGAGGAAAATATTAGTTTGAATGGTGGATTCAAGGATTAGAAGTATGTTTACCATGTTTAGTGTAAGGTATATTTTTGTTCCTATAAGTGTTGGTTATATTACTTTAGTTGTAATGCAAATGGTTCTCCTTTACATTAATTTGCGATGTTTTGATTGATGTTAAATTACAACCATTTTATTAGATGCAAGACATATATTGGGAGCAATTGTGGCGAAAATGGGATCGTCCTAGAGAATTGTACCCCGACGCGTCTAGCAAAGATGCCCCCGTCCCTCCTGACCTCCCTGTCCTTAACTGTGACTGTGGTCGTCCGACCGACGTGTTTCAATCGAGACATCCTGACACAGCGGCTCGTTGCTTCTACACATGCAGTCGTTTTAATGTAAGTAATTGTTTCCGTATGTTTTTTTCTTCATTTGTGTTACTAGGTTACTAATATTTTGTTGGAATCTTGTTGTGTAGGCCCATGAGAGGTGTTTTTTCTTTCAGTGGATCGATGGTGCAGACAAGTTTGACCTAAGGTACCTCCTTTTCGACGATTGTTGGAGAGGGAGACATCCACGTGAGCACTTCGAGCGGTGTGTTCCACCTCCCCAACCCTCTCATCAATGACGGCTAAAGAGTTAGTCATCAGCTAGACTAGAGGAACCTCCTCTGTACTATTATTTTGTTGATAAAC